AAAAAACAAGATATATAGAAAATAAAGTTTTAAAGCTAATCTACTCACCTGCAGGAATGTATCGATCATGACATCCTAGCAAGATCATGAGAAGTATTTAGCAGACCATACCTGCGGTTATCGAGAACAAGTACTGTATAGACTGAATTCTAGCCTACCAATATATCTAAAAGCTTAGTGAGTTAAAATGTATACCTGTATGAACGCGTTCCGCATCAATGTCACAATATAACAGCTGTCAATCAAAATATCAGCGATATCGAGTTTTACACCAAACCACCTTTTGTTATTTATAACACACTTCGTCGTACTCAAGATATTTAGATGTGATAACATTGACATGAATGTATGACACTCCATCGGGTTATAATATGTGACAAACGCTCCTCTTTCCCTTTTTCTGATCAGGATGAGAGAGGGGCGTGGTGCTTCGGCATTTTGAATGACATTGGAGCTTTTCTGGACAAACTGGTGCAACTACACCAGACTGTTTGAGGTGGAGGTACCAAGAGAAAACCAGTGTGCCAATCCCCTTCATTACCAATGACCCTAGCTCTCGATAACACATTAAACCTATTTAAACAAACCCTAACCATTTTATACCCTCGGACTTTCCTATAGGTCTGTTGTATCCCATTGCATGTGTACCGTCAGGGGCGATGGTTAATGTAGGCTCCAGGCAAATGCTTGTGTTATACTAAAATAAAAGCATTGAAGAGTCCAGGGCCGTTTTCGTTTGAACGGTTAAACCGGTCGGACCACAAATGTTCGTTTATTAAATAAGGTCGGACCTAGTAATCCGATGGTGCTTTCAGGCGAGCTTTGACAAAAGCCTTGGAAGGCCTGCATAAACACTTGCAGGTCCGCTAGGATTTGTACTCGAAATTAATATTTTTATAAACGGACAAACCGGTTGTTCCACATACACGATCTGGCCCTGAATTGATATGCAGGGCCAATTACAACTAGGAGATGTTTTCTCGGTTTCTACGTTATCTTCATTCTTTTCTGTTCGCTACAAGTATGTGTAAAATGTACATACATGTACGTATAATGCGTCCAATGGCTATACTGTTTGTATTGCACATTTCCTATCCTTTCTTCATTNTCCTTTTTTTTTTTTTTTTTTTTTTTTTTTTTATTTAATTATCGGTACAACCCGAATCAGGGGCGGATACAGGATTTTTTGAACGGGGGGGCGCCTTCCCGGTAAATGTGTTTGCCGAGCGCAGCGAGGTGCACCGCCGCAGGCGGTGCGGGCGGCCGCAGGCGGCCCAACGAGGGCCGTATAGGCCGGAGCCGGGGGGAGAGCACGAGAGGGGGACATGGATGGGCCC